TAGCATTTTTAATATCAGAATTGAAGTCAGTGACTTTACAGTGAGCAACTAATGCATTTAATGTGTTGTTTTGTAAAATAGCCCTTTTGTGTTCATAATCTTTTATTTAAATTTCTTTAGGTTTCTCTGATATAGTCTTTGTGGCAATAAATTTAATAGTGTAAATTTTGCTTTCAAGTTTTAACTTATTGTTTTGTTTTGTATTGATTAACTCTTGTATCATTTTATATGTGATTGGGAATATATATATATATATATATATATCCAGGTACAATGAGAATGAATGGAATGCAATTCCAATGTTCGTAACATTTAATTTAAAAAGAGCTCAATACAAAGTAGAGCAATATTATTTATTTTAGGATATTACACTGAAAACATATAAAAATAAATATCACTACACAATTGCAGTTGTGGTTCAATGCATATCAATGCATCTAATCAAGTGATTGTAAATTACAATCAATTGATGAGATACATTGATACGCACATATATATATATATATATATATATATTCATACACGTTTCATTAAATAATATAGACAAGTGTTGTCTATTTATTTTATGTAAACTCTTTTCATAACATCTAATAAGTTTAATAACATTATCATTGAACGAAAAAAGAAATTCACAATATTGATCCATATTTTTTAATACAATCTAAGCTTTCGGCTTACATAAGCCATTATCAAAGATGTCAATTACAACATATTAAGCAATATACGGACAAGACAGTGATGATAGTCTGTGATTGTTTACATAGATGATTTCTAAGCAACGATAAACACATGCATATAAGACGCTAGAAGCGAAAATTGCACCACATCTCATGACATCACACATGACCACACGAGAGTGAATTGGAGAAGTATGAAGTATGGGAAGCCATTGGTATAAACCAATGGTTTCTGTTACCAATTATAGACATTTAAGGATATTTGTAGAGATTCCATAATTGATTTTGTTTAGGTTGGGTTTCAACTGTTTGATGTATAATGCTTCAAGGATTTTTAGTTTTTGTCTATTGTTTTCATGTCGAAGTATAATTGTGTTTTTTCAACAAGTATTTTACGGAATTGTGTGCGGGCAGGCATGTTGTTTTAAATGCCTAAAAATGTTAGAGTTTTCATTCCAATGTAGTGTTAAGTTTCCCATACTTCATACTTCTCCAATTCACTCTCGCGTGGTCATGTGTGATGTCATGAGATGCGGTGCACGCCTATGTGTATGTATATACGTGTATATGTTATTGTGTATGTGTTTTTGAACATAAAAATATAGGTCCTTGCTAGATCAGATAATCGTTATATTTATTTTTTATATGTTTGTATTTGATTTATAACCTGTAGTCGATATTAATTTTGTCAAATTTTCTCAATTACATGGCGGCCCTTTGAGTAAATGTCCTTCAATTTTAGTTTCCCCCGCCCCATCACTCTCCCCCACCTCGTCTTTCCTTTTCTCTCCCTCCCTCCTATTCTAATCTTTAACATTAGATCATCTATGGTGTGTGTATGTCACCACGAAATGTATCTTAATGTATTAGACATCCGACAACATTCATATTTCCCTCTTCCACTCACCTCTAGCTAGAAAAAACCCTCTCTGTTAAGTTTTAGTCTCCCACCTTCTCCGTCTATTACCCCTCTCTTTAACACTAACATTCGTCCCACACACTCTCATACTTACACTCTCTCCAAATTCTATTTTTATTCCCGGAGTTGTTCTTTTCTGTTTTCTTTTTGAATTTGTAGGTCTGATGAATTGAATCGTATTTACGATTCCAGTGGAATAAATTATGAACATGGAATATTAGTGTTTAAGCCTTTTTATTATATCCTTACTCTGTCCTGGATATTGAGTTCTACCTAGATTCTATCCTCTCGGAATTTTTATTAAAAAAATATACATATATGTGTATGCCCCTATGTATATATATCTATATATTTTGCATATGTATATGTATATTTACCACTAATATTATCTATATATATATATATATATATATATATATATATATATAGTGAGAGAGAGAGAATGAAGGCATGGTGGAGTAGGGGATAGCAGCTCAGACTGAGGAATCAGAGAGTGAAATCTGAATTCCAGTCGGATCCATTACATTCACTTACGTGCTAATAACTTTGGGAAAGGTATGAATTCACTTCTTCTCCCCACCTCAGCTATGAGTAAATAGCAGGACAGACTGGGTTCCATAACCTTGGATGGCATCTGGTATAGGAGAAGGACAACTCTGAATTCAAAACCTGCGGAGGGTTGTTTGGGGACCTTGTGGCACGTAGTGCACCAGGTTTCTGTATTCGGCCCTTCAAAAAGTGTGGATGGTTCTGCACAAAGTCTTCACCAGTATAATCAAATCATATGTGCAGATGTCTGACTGTCGATTCCTAGGAACTGAGTTGCTTGACCTTCATATGTTAAAAAAATGATGGGAGAGTCTTGCATATATATATATAGGTTATCAATTAGTAATGATAACAACTAAAAGGATATAGTCTTATTGTAATCACCCCCCAGGGAAATATGGAAGAGCCCTGTAAAGTATTTTTCTGTTCTTTTCTAGAACCCATTAGACATACATCCTTACAAGTGGAAAATTATATACCAATTGAACTGCTGTCTCTAACAGGTTGTCACATGACTTTTAAGGCTCTTTATCACTTGAGTAAATTCTTCCTTTTAAAGAAAATGAATTAACTTCTGTATCCCTGCAGAAGTCATGTGACAGTGGGGTAATGGATATTGGTATGGGTAGTGGAATCAAAGTTAAAATTACAGCCTAGTCTGTTGCATTCACTGTCACACAAATTTCCTTGAAAAAGTTATGAATCCATCTCTTCTACTCCTTGCTATGGGTATTGTTAACTAGGCTCTCTGCTACCCAACTATTGTTTTAGGCAAAAATAATAATATAATTATTTTTACTGAAATCATAATAACAGTGAAAATGGATGCAAATAATAGCAACAATACAATAAACAATAAATTTACACATATATAAATATTAAAAGACACTATTTACATAGACTTGTCCATTTATAAAAAATGGGGAATATTTTCTTTTTAAAATAATTTTTTGTACATTAGCATTCTGTATATTTTCATTAGGTTGTGATGTGCTTATATATATATATATATATATGAAGAAAAATTTGGAAAAAATTCATCCAAAACAGATAACTGAAAATTTTTAAAATGATCAGCTTTCTGTTTAGCATGGTCATGTTGTCGTCACATGGGCGACGCTTTCAAAACGTATTCCTAAAAATTTTTGATTATTTGGGATAAGACTTGTTTTTTATAACCATCGTCTTTGTCAAATTGAACTGAAGTGTATTTTAATGAATATTGTCCTGAAGAAGGTTTATTAAACCGAAACGTCAGACGTCGCCATTTCATTCATTTTAAACAACATAATTGCATTTAAGGATTTTTGGGTTGTTTTTTCCAAATTTTTCTTCATTCTGTCGGATCTATATCCATTTATATTTGCTTACATATATATATATATATATATATATATATATATATATATTGTCAGAATAAAAAATATTGATTTGTTATCAATTTAGAAGGGGGGTCCTTTTCATACAGTGCCAAATTGATCACTGACTTTTACAGAGTTATGGGAAATTAATCATTTTGTTTACAAATGTCACATTTGAAAATGTGTTTACTTCATTGATATCTGTGTACTGTTTTTTGTTTTTTTTTAGAATCTTTAAAAGATTTTTTTTTTAACTTTTTGAGGAGGTTTCTGAATCACGTGCACAAACACTAGGGGATTTTAATTATCTATCTTAAATGAAGAATAAACGAATGTTGTTAATTGTATAGTATAATTTTATTAATAATTTATGTAAATTTGAAAATTCACCTCCACCCTTTAATGATAACTAACTTCGGAAATAGTTGAAGAATTTTTTTATTTGTCATTCTGGAAGAGAAACAATTTTTGAGCGATCACTTTTTTGTACTTTTAGGAAAAATGTCACAAATCTGTTCTTTAATTTAAAATGTCGAGATCTGTTTATTCTTTAATGACAAGTCTTTGTGAAAAAAATCTGTTTCGTCAGACAATTCTCATCGTTTGCTTTGATATTTTTTTAAACTAAAAACATAAAATCCCGTCGTTTTCTTTTTGCAAAAAAAAAAACCCATCCTGTTCAAAGATATCCAGTGACGTAAGCACATTTTCAAAAAATCCCGATAATTCTTCAAAGTCAGGGATCGATTTGACACTGTGTCACTATTATGAACAGGACTCCCCCATTCTAAATTGATAATTAATCAATCAATATTTTTCGATTCTGACAAGTTTCCCAGCCTAGAAAGATCAAAATAGCGTTATTTTTATGAGTGGCCCAGTTTAAGTAGTGCCTAAAAAAATCATCACCATAATTATTATTATTAATAATAATAATGATAATATTATTACGAAACTTTTTAAAATACTTTTCATACGAAACGAATACACGAATTGTAATTAATCAGAAACTAGTCTGGTATTCCTTTCTAGAAAGGGAGGCTATCCGTCAGACTCTCATTTTTTTGTCCTACGAGAAGAAAAACGAGATTTTAGCCGAGATTTTATGTACCACGTGGTCTAGATTTTCTCAGCCTTTCTTGCTTCTGAACGTTCGCCATGGCGGTCGGTAAAAATAAGCGCTTAACAAAAGGTGGTAAAAAGGGCCAAAAAAAGAAGGCTATAGACCCTTTCACCAAGAAAGACTGGTACGACATTAAGGCTCCTAGCATGTTTAACATCAGGCAAGTGGGTAAAACCTTAGTAACAAGAACACAAGGTACAAAGATCGCTTCTGAGGGTTTGAAGGGCCGCGTGTTCGAAGTGTCTCTGGCCGATTTGCAGAATGATGAAATTGCTTTCCGTAAGATGAGATTAATTGCTGAGGAGGTCCAGGGCAAAAATGTTCTCACCAATTTCCATGGCATGGATCTCACCAGAGACAAGCTGTGCTCGATGGTTAAGAAATGGCAGACCTTGATTCAGGCACATGTCGATGTCCGAACTACAGATGGCTACCTTCTTAGGATGTTTTGTATCGGCTTTACCAAGAAAAAGCCTAACCAAAGCAAAAAGACTTGCTATGCTCAGCACGCCCAGGTAAGAAAAAATTGTTTAATCTTACTTTATTTTTCTTAACATCTTTTATTTATTTACTTGTTTAAAATGCCGGTGTGTTTTTTAATTTAAATTTTACCGGTATGGTTAAGCCTTCCATGTGCCATAGAAATGTATTAATGGCGGTGCACTTCGTATTTTATTGGTTTTTACTTATTAGCAAATTTTCATCCTTCTTTTGATTACTTATTTATTTACAATATAGACTGTATCTTTTTAGATACCGTATAATTTCTTAGCTTTAAGTCTGATTAATTTTGCTTACAATTCATTGTAAAACGGAAGTAGATAATTTTTAAAAATAGTTTAAAATTTTAGCTTAATTAATAAGTCGTTCACATGGTTACTTTTTTCACTATTTTTTTTAAAAAAAAAGAAACTTAAATGTTATATTTCTGACTTCATATCTTTATAAAAGTTTTACAATAAAACTAAATTTAATTACTTAAATATTTGTAATATTCAACTTAGCTTGGGGATAAAAATAACTTAATTTTTTAAAGTATGCTGAAGTTTAACAATTAAAAAATAGCTTTAATTTGCATTTTCTTTTAATTACTCTATCAAAAATGAAATTCTTGAACCTATTTTCATTATTTACTTATAAAATTATTCGTAAAGTTAGGTAATTTATGAATTTTTACGATGATGGCAAATTAAAATTATTTTTATGCTAAAAAAGAAACTTATTTTCCCTCAACATTTAAAAAATAGGGTAGAGGGAATATTGACAAACATGTTGGAAAAAAAATTATTTTTAAATGTCACCCCCTCCCCTCAATACGGATTTAAATTGTTTATATAAAAGTAAAACTGACACAATTTAAAGTCCTCACTGGGTGGGGGACATTTTAGAATCGAACCTTTGAGATTTTTTAGTAATACCCTGATCTGTTCATAGATATAAAGAGGTCGATGCTTGGGATGGGGGACCATTTGTGTTTCAGTACAAACTTCATCTTTGTCAATGCACTTAATTCAGTTCTTCTCCACAAGTGATAATTCTATCAGGCTGCGAAGTTATTGATCCACACACTTGTAGATGTGGGTCTCCGGTTGAGGAATATTTTTGGGTGTGTGGGGAATTAATGTCCAAAAAGTCTTTATCGCTTGGAAAGATTTTGATATATATATATATATATATATATATATATATCAATTTTATTTTATTTTTTCGCTCAAAAACTTTCTCATACCAAATATCGGATTATCTCCCTTAGATTGCTTTACTTAGACTCATATTCTGAATTTCTAAAAATAAATTAAAAAACTATATACAGAGAACTTAAAAACGGTTACTTATTTTAGTGTGGGTATGTCCACTATTTCGGCATAAATTTTCTATATTGAAGTTTAAAATGAATTTTTTACAATGAAAAAACATTCTTGAAGATTTCATTTTAGCTTTAATTGAAAGTTTAATAACTAAATTTACGATTTCTATTAATTAAACAATTCTGGTGTATTTCAGATAGAAACTATATACATTTGATTGTCAAATTTAATTTCAAATTTTTAAATTTTCTTAAAAACGGCCATTTTCTTAATTTTAAGAAATTTGTAAACAAACACAAATTTATCGATTTTTAAAATATTTAAAAAAAATTCTGACACGTTATTTTAGTAAAATTAAAAAATTTAAAGTTAAAGTAATCTGATTTCAAAGAAATCTTTGTTACTTATAGCATAAAAAAATAATATACAAGCAATTATTTACGAGCGGTCCCGTTCATCTGTTCGATCTTATTGATACTGGTTGATTGACGAGCCGATGACAGCTACTACTGATGACCATAAATGACATAATTTTTAAGTCTGAGTTTTTAAAAAAATTATTCTATTTTAGTATGACACACACTAATGGAAATACAATACATAAAATAAAATTATTTAGTGAAATAGTAAATGAAAAAAGAAAAAATAATTTAAAATTTAAAGTTTACACTTTTTACAGCTGATCGGAAAATACAATCTGTTAATAAACGAAATGTTTTGAAAAAGCCACGTAAAGGGACAAAACCCTTAGATCACGTGACCTTGTTATAATAATGGCAATTTCTGTATATCATACATGGAAATAAGGAATGTATTAAGTAAAAAAATACAACATAAAAAATTATTTTTAAAAAAAGTAGCTCAACTAAATTTATTAAACTTAGCAAATTTGGATTCGTAAATTTTTTTCTACTTAATTACTACATAATATTGAGGGGCCCTCCTAATACAGAGCTTTACGCGATGTTAAACTATTATAAATTATTATAATTAAAACTTCTTAAAAACGAAAAAATTCTTGTAAAATTAATTATTCATCAGAAAAAATTATTTCTTCAGACAATAATGTCCTTAATATTACTTATTTACAAAAGCAATTAAAAGCTTTTCTAATTAAGTAATATCATAGTTTTATTGGATTCATTATTTTCAATTCAGACAAGATTTTCAGTTAAGTAGCTCAAATTTGTGAAAGAAAAGTAGGTTATTTACCATCTCCAAAGATTCCTTCTTTTAACAAAAAATAAAATTGAGGAGCCAAAAGGTTTGGGGCGAAATTTCATGAAATTAACTAAGTGGGGGGTAACATATTTAAAAAAAATATTTTTTTACCAAAATTTTCTAAAAACAAAATATTTGAAAAATAATTTCATTCATTTGTGAATAAGTCCTGAAAATTTCATTAAGATTGGACAATTATTCTATTTTTACAAGAATTTCCAAATCAATATATTTTCAACGGTAAAAAACAAAAAAAAAAAACTATGTTATTTTAAAGGTCGCCGCGATGACGTAAACAAAGACGACTTTAACCAAAATTTCGAACGTGTTAGAAAATATTAAAAATTTCAAAAAATAATTAAAAATACTTTTTTCTTTCATCTTAATAATAACATAAGCATTTTGACGATAATACTTTATTTTCTTTAAGTTTGTGGCATTTTTCATTTACGCTATGCTGTTTTTCCGCGAAAACAGTGGACATACTTATTTTAGTGCATCATTTTACTTAGAATTGTTGCTTGGTGGTAAAATTGCAGACTAGGACCCAGAAACCAAGATTGTTGATATCTCCTAAAAGGTAGATTTCCAGATATTTTTAATGCTGTTTTTGGAATATTCAGGCTTTTTTTTTTTTATTAATTGGTTTCTGGGTGCTAATCTGTAATTTTACTAAACTTTCTTGTCTTTTTGTAAGTATTTTAATTATTTGAGAGAAAAGAATACGGAAGATCTCAACATTTTTTTCTTTTTTTCTTCAGGTGAAACTTATCAGGAAGAAGATGTTAGACATTATTACACGTGAGGTTGCTTCTAATGACATGAAAGAAGTAGTCAACAAGCTCATTCCTGACAGTATTGGAAAAGATATTGAAAAAGCCTGCCAAGGCATCTACCCCCTACACGATGTCTTCATCAGGAAAGTAAAGGTCCTTAAGAAACCAAAATTCGACCTTGGTAAACTGATGGAAATGCATGGGGAAGGCAAAGGCTCAGCAGGTGGTACCGGGACCGAAACAGGTGACAGACTCAACAGGCCTGAGGGTTACGAACCACCAGTTCAAGAATCTGTATAAAGGGGAACGAAAAGAAAAATGAATAAAATCACTTTGTGATTAACAGGAAATTTTGTTGGGTTTTTTGTTTTGCTTCTCTTTCCAGAAAGGACTCCAATACCAAAAAAATTGAATTTACGCAACTAAATCCTTATAAGGCAAATTTTGTTGCAAACCCCACTCTATTTTGGAGATCCTGAAGTTTTTCCTCTAACTCCTCTCCCACCCAATTCTAGGTATTTGAATATTATTTACTTCCAGTCATGTGTGCACATTTGAAAAATATCTCTTGTTAAATAAGTCATGAAGATTTACTTTTCACACCACCATTTTACAAACAGACTATATAGTATGTACAATTATTTTTTATATTAACTTTCTACAATTGCTTTTGCTAATAACACTAGTTCTCACATACATGCTAAGATTTTTTTTTTTTTTTTTAAAAAAATTCACAGATTATTGCAAGTGAGGTAGATGATTTGGAATATACAAGATGAGGCAAAAGTTGTGCATCATAGGGATAATTTATTGAAAGTATAATTACATGTAGAAATTTTATTCACCAGTTAATTGTTATATGTGCTGTTCAAAATGTTTTCTCTTTTTTTTTTTTTTTTTTTTTTCCTAAAATTCATTTCAATTTTGTGCTTGTATAATTCATTGTGTCAGCATTTCCCCTCTATCATTTTACTGTGTTCATATTTGATTCTTTAAGTTCCTCAATATTTCTACAGTGCATCTGATGAACAACTTTCAAATAGTTTCACAGAAAAAGAAATCTAAGGGTGTGAAATCTGGTGACCTCAGTGACTATTCAACAGGACCTTTTTGACCTATCCATGAACCCCTATGGTTCATGATTTTTGCCTCACCCTGTACAAGAGAATGTTTATATAGGCTAGTGTATATGAATATTTAGAATCCGGTGGATTCTGGTGACTTGTGCGTGCATAAACATGTTTTGGCTGCAATTGTTCTTGTGGGGAGAAAGCATTTTCCCCACTGGTTGGAAGAAATGGCAGCTTTCTATTCTCTGTGGACAGATCAGGACATTACTTAGTCACTAAAATTTGGTAAATTACAAAAGATCATGACAATGATGTAAATAACTCGATCTGATATGAAAAATAGCAACTTCATGTTAGAGCCGTGTCCAAACTGTTCAGCAACATTTCACTTAAAAACTTACTGCAAGAAAATGATGGATGTTGACAAAAGCTACAAATAATTGTGTAACATTGAATCTACATGATTTCATTGATATATTTTATGAAAAATTATTGGGCCATTACCACTATCATTATATAAGTTGTGGGTGGTATGTTGGCTGACAATGAAAAATCAGAAAGTTTGAATTCCAGCCATGTTCATTATATTCTCTTGCACAAGTACCCTTGGGAAAGGTGTGAATCAATCTCCCCTAGTTATGGGTTAAATAGGACTTGTATCTGAGAAAATCATCCTCACTCCAATTACTGTATATTGTGTGTTTACATGAGTAGTTATATGCATTTTCAGTGGCCAATTCCACTATATACAGGTAATTTTATTTTCTGGAGGGATTAAAATTCTGGGGTCACAGTATACATGAAGTTTACTTCTATACAAGTATATGTAGTAATACAATATTCAGTTGCAAAAAAAAAAAAAAATATTTCTTAAATCAAATATGTTGGGCTTTAAATAGTTTAGTATTTATAAACTTTATACACACACAAACAAAACATGTAAGTCACAATCAGCTTATCGTTAATCTTCTAAAAGAGAATTTAGTCACGGTTGGATTAATACGTTTTACACAAAACTATAGGTATATTGCTTAAGATGAAAGTCAAGGTTTCTAGTTTCAAAATAGCCCACCCACTATCTAACACAAGGACCATCCATTCTGTGATTTAAGTGGCCGTCTATTGTTTTGATTGCTTAAAACCATTTGCATAAGATGTTTCTATATCAGTCGCAAATTTCACAGATGTTTTAATTTCATATTTATAACAATTTCGATTTTTATCTACAAACTTTTTAAAAGTGTCTAACCAAATTGTTAAAGTGCAATTTATGGAACTGGATATTACTGTTCTCTTTCTGCTGGAAATTAATGTGTGGACCTCACTGATGAAAAACATTTTTCCATTTTATACTGGTGGACAAGTTGGTGTTGGATAAAAGCTGGTTTTTTAAAGAGAGCAACAGTTGCTTATATTTGCAGCACAGGGGGATGTCGTCAGAATTAGTGTAATCAAATGCAAAATGTGTGGGCAAAGCTGACGGGACAGTTAACTAGACACTCGTTAAATGACCCAAATTGATGCAGAAGTCATGTAAATAACTTGAAATGGTAAAGGAATCTATTGGGAAGTATGCTGAGAATTTCAGTGTAAAAGAGAATTGGTATTAACATCATCCCGAGGCAGTGATTTTAAAAAAAAAATAGGATGTATTCAGATGCAATTGCCATTTCTAGAACAAGATGATATTACGGCTTTCCTGCTGGGCATAATTTTAGAGCTGAATTTTTTTTATGCCTAGGGCCAAACTCGGAAAATTTTATTTTCCGCCAACCAAATTTCATTGAAAATGATTTTTTTTTTTTTTTTTTTTAAACCATATTGCCCATGCTATTCCTACAGTACTGAGTACCAAATATATTTACATGACATGCTGAACTCTTGTATATCAGTTATCTAAGACACCTATTTCCTGCTGATATCTTGGTACACACTCATAATATCTCTTTTAAATGAGAGTGAGCTCATGAATGTTCTCTTCCAGGTGCGATCTCAGGGATGTAATATTCAAATCTTATATAATATGCAGAACCCCTGTATATCAGTTACGTAATAAATATAATTGGGACTCTGTCATTTTTATAATGCAACATGCATTTAAAATGTGTTACATGACATTTAGCAAACCTCATATACAAGAGTTCACCATATTATCTATGGGTATCTGATATCTGTTTTGCTGATGGTGAACCTTCATAATGTCATGGGCTCAAATGAAATTGCACCATTGTGCAAGCATGTTTCACCAGCCAAAGATCCATTGCTGCAGCCCGAAGGAAATTCTGAAAGCGTTTTGGAAAGTGACAGGCACTAGCCCAAAAGGTGATCCTGTTTCACAGAAGTTCGTAACAGCAATGTCAACTGTCTGAAATGAGAGCGAGCTTTTGCATGTTCCCATTGTGGAAGTGACCATTTTTGGGATGTAATATTCAAATCGTATAATATACTGAACCCTTGTATATCAGTTACATAATAAATATATTTGGTACTCTGTCATTTTTATAATGCAATATGACATTTAAAATGTGTTGCATCATTCTTGGACATGCTATATATATATTTATATATGTATTAGGTTGGTGCAAAAATAATGTCGTTTTTGACGTTAAGTTGAACGACAAAACGACATTATTTTTGCACCAACTAATAAAAAAAATGGTCAATGATCTGAAGATTGCATTTAAGCATGAAACAGACTGTTGCTGTTTGGTGAACGCAATGTCCACATATATTTAAAATCCTGACAGCCTATAAATATAGCATTTATATATTATTTTTTTCTTAACCTAATACAGGCAATACTAATGCAGAAAATACATTGCATGCTTCTATAACAATTTATAATGGGTTAACTTTGATTGTTTCTGAAGAAATTAGAAATGGTTTGAATTTGCAAAAAAAATAATTTAACTCTATGTGTTGTGTGTGTGTTTTTTCTTCAAGCATTTCACCCCAAGCAAGGCAAGAGTCCCACTAGTATGCAAGAGATTACAGAGGGGGAGCAAAAATAGAGGAGAGGATAAACAGAAGGACGGGTAATAGATCAAGGCATCTGGAGATGTCAGTTGATGTTACATTTGAATAGAATATTTGGAGGTTATTGTCGAACAATCACGTAGTCAAGATAACCCAAGCTGGTGAAGACTAATTCAACATAGAGACAGAGCTATTTATGGTGCAATGGAGCATCTCATTATGCTAAAAGTCCATGGGCTCTGATTGGCTGCTGGTACCTGGTGGAAGTATTACTATATAAATACTAGCATGATTTCTCAGTTTGCAGGATATGTATTAAGTTACAACCTGCTTTATTTTTTGTCTGCCAGCTGGACGCTAGTTTTCTTACGCCGGTACGTGCTTTTTATTGTTAGTATCTCCTTCCCCCCATCGCGTGTGGGTAGTGGCCTTTGGGGGAGGGAATAAACCTGGCTGGTTGTAAGTCTGGACAGGGGTTTTTGTCCGTGTTAAAATGAGCAGTGTTTGATGTTATTCCAGCGTCGACTGTTTGTTGCACTGGTGTAGGTGTCTCAGCTATTGCACTAGGTCTTGGAACTGGAATTGTTGGGTATAGTTTTTCGGCGATTTTGTAATTTTGATCCGTCAACTCTGATACGGTATTGGTGGTTGGGGAGGATTTCAATGAAGAATCGACGGGTTGTTGGAGTAGAAAAGTGTGTGCTGTTCTGTTGTATCGCTCTATGAGAAGCGTTCCGCCGGGACAAACTTATCTCAAAACAAGTGTTGGGTGGATAACGTAGTCGGCGGTAGTAGTTTTAGATAGCCCAATGTTTTTGAATGGGCGTATTCCTGTATTGGAGGATTCTTTGCACGGTTATTATCAATGATCCTTGGGCTCCTGTTGCCATTTACGATTCTCTTGGCCAAGCAAGCTCGACCATTGGATTGTGGGTAACCAGCAGATGATAACCTTTGTTTAACAGCCCAGTCTTGCAAAAATTGCTTGAATGGAAGAGATGTGAAGGGGGTTCCTCAGGAGCGCCGTAGGTTTGAAATAAAATCGAAATAATCCTTGAGGCATTAGCTTCTCCGTGGCTCAAGTGGTATAGATTCAGCCAGCCCGTTAATCTGTCAGCGCATGCTAAGTAACCATGGTTTCCAACATGGAAGATGTCCATGACGATTTGCTGAAATGGCCAATCAGGAGATGGTGTCAAATTGATTGGCTCTTTTGGTTGACTCAGGGGCAACTTTTGAGCAGAACGTACAACC